AAAAAAAAAAAAAAATATTCAAAATAAAAAAGCGAAAGATCCTAATTTTTTATCTAAATTTCATTGATTTAAAATTATTCAAGATAATGATATTTATAATACTGAATACTTTTTGATGAGATATAATGAGATAATAAGAAAATTATAGTTCTAATTTGTATCATTAGAAAAATCATATAATAATGTATAATATTAGTAAGTTTCTTTTTACATTTATCTATTTCATTTTTTAAAAGATGTATTCTGTCTTATTCATAAATTGATTTTATTAAATGTTCATATGAATGGGATAATGAAACAAACAAGATAATATTGATATTAATTTTATATTTTTTGTTTAGACATTAAAATTATAATATTATTGATTTCTCTTAAATTATATAAATATTACAATTTTATTGCATTAAATTTTATATTAAATTTAATATTTCTACAGTATGATTTTAAAAAAAGAAGGAAAAATAATATAACAAAAAAAAATGTGAGATTAAACGTAAATTATAACGATATTTATATTATATATATGTATGTCATATGATCATGATCATAATGGGATATCTTATCTATATATGGGATATCCTATAATTATAATGTAATCAAATATGTGTAATTTTATTATAGAAAAATTACAATCACATGTCTCATTATTATGTTATTTTTTTCTCTATTCATATTAAATATAGTAAATCATTTTTACAAATTAGATTATAAATTTAAATGAAGAAAATGAGAAGATTTTTTAGTTTATTCCAATTCATCTCAATTCAATCAACTCATTCTTTTTTGAATTATACATATGAGCAGAGTTGGATAAAGATCTGATTAATCTGATTGAAAATTATAATTAGTAATTAATCTTCTTAATAATTATATAATTACTAATTATTAAATAATTTATTATATTAATTTAATTTAATATAATTAAGAGAAATTATAATTAATCAATTTAATAATTAATGATCATAAGATAATTATATTTTTAATTATGATTAATTAGGATTTATAATAATAATACTTTATTATGAAAAATATATATTTATTATTTATATAGTTTTCGAATATAAATATCATTATTTGATAATCAATGACTAATAATTATTCTATAAGATCTATCTTATAGAATAGGCAACAGTCAATGTATTAATCACATCTGTATTAATATAATATATAGTACTTTTTTAAAATTCAAATTTAAGACAATTTTATATTTAATATCCATACTTCTCTGTTATCACCCTCAAAATTTTGTGTCGATCAACTATCGAAACTTTTCGTTTAATAGCTACAAAAAATAATATATTAAATACGTAATATTATAAAAATTTATCTATATTTCCAAACGAATCTCATTTATCAATGTCCATTTTCACTCGTCAAAGCATTAGAGTAATTTCAAAAATATCAAGACGCGATGGACCGGAATCATTGGAAAGAAGAGCCTTGTCTTTGATTCGGATCTTAGTCGTTCGAACGAGGGTGTCAAGGAGTAAAAGAGAGAGCTTTTCGAGAGCCGAATCGAAGGAACAAGAGCTTACTGCGTCTCGTCGAGCTGTTGACGAGTCACTGGATAAGGAGAGAAGAGGAAGGGAGGCACCGATAGCCCTAACACGAGCGCACGAGACCTCGGGGAAATCCTAATATTTTAACCACTGGCGAGGAATGAAAGGACCCGGGTGAGCATGAAAAGGGAAAAAGGGGTGCGCGAATCATCTCTGCGTACCCTTAAACCCTACTGGATGGGGTGGAACCTGCAAGGTGGGTAGAACTCTATGTATACCCGTTGTGGTACCCCGAGGGAAGTACTTGCAATTAACGCGGTAAGACTCGGCTCTTGCAAGGGGTAGTACACCCTTCTTAATGGTAACCATCCCTTTTCGCTCCTTCCCATGCTCTCCTTGTTTCTCTTTAATTCTGAGTTCAGTACTAGGTAATGATATTTCGAATAAAAAATAAATTTTTTTTTCAACTTTGAATCTAGATTAATGACTTTAAATTAATTACTTAAATGTAATTGTTATTGATAATATGTTATTTATGCAAATGTCTGGATAGAGGATTTTAGAAATACATTTTTTATTTTACATTTTTTGCATAATAATATGCTTTATATATTTATGTTTAAAGATATATTTTTAAGAATAGAATATTCATTATATCAACATATTCATAAGGCATTTTTAATTATTATATAATTTCCATGAAATTCTATTAAACAATTCATAGATTTATAAAACGATGTATTAA